TTTTTTACTAGGTAGTGGTTATCCCTTTCTAACGTAACATCTCTGTATATGAAGGTATTTGTTGTCTGTCTCCATTCACTAGAAAAAGCCCCCAGGGGCAGGGTTACTATTTCATTTACCAACGTATTCTAAGTGTCTAGAACTTCTTCTGGCACGTGACAGGTGGTCCATAAATCTCTCCTGAATTAATGAAGGAAAGAACATACCCTCACCCAACGAAAGGAGGTTCCTGTAATTCTCCAGCATCACTTCTTTGTACAGGATCCTCTGCTTAGAGTTCAGGAGCTCCCATTCTGCCTGTGTGAAGACCACAGCCACATCCCTGAATGTAACTGGTACCTATAAACAAGCAACAATTAATGAACAGCACGTCCCCGTCAATTTTCCCAGTGTGAGGAGTCTGTGCAGTAGCCCTGGAGAGTCTTGATATGTAAGAGTTGGTCTAATTCTTTTCAGGTCACACAGTTCTCCAGATCAAATTCTTCTAGCCATTACTATGGCTGTGTGCTAAAATCTGAGGACAGTGCCCAGATGGCGTGGTCCAGTGTTTGAGCACTGAGCCACAAACCAGGAGGTCAGGGTTCATTGGATTCCCAGTCAGGGCATATGCCCCAGTTGTGGGCTCAATCACCAATATAGCACATGCAGAAGGTAGCTGATCAATGATCCTCTCTCATCATTGATGTTTATCTCTCTCTCTCTCCTTTCCTCTCTGAAATCAAACCTATCTAATAAAAGGGCAATATGCAAATTGACTGTCACTCCAACATACAAGATGGCCACCCCTATGTGGTCAAAGATGGCCGTCACAAGATGGCCTGCAGGGGAGGGACGCAGGCCTGCTGGGGAGGGCAATTGGGGGCAACCAGACAAGGAGGGGAGAGCAGTTGGTGGGACCAGTCATGTAGGGGAGAGCAGGTAGGGGAGATCAGGCCAACAGGGGAGGGCAGCTAGGGGTAATCAGGCCTTTAGGGGAGGGTAGTTGGGGGGATCAGGCCTGCAGGGAAGGGCAGTTGGAAGGGACCAGGCCTAAAGGGGAGGGCAGTTGGAAGGGACCAGGCCTAAAGAGGAGGGCAGTTGGGGGAGACCAGGCCTGTAGGGGAGGGTAGTTGGGAGGGACCAGGCCTGCAGGGGAAGGCAGTTGGGGGGACCAGGCCTGCATGGGAGAGCAGTTGGGGGGGCAGGGTCAGGCCAACAGGGGAGGGCAATTAGGGGCAATTAGGCCAGCATGGGAGCAGTTAAATGTCAGGCTGGCAGGGGAGTGGTTAGGAGCAATCAGGCAGGCAGACAGGTGAGAGGTTGAGAGCCAGCAATCCTGGATAGTGAGAGGGATGTCCCAAATTGGAGCGGGAGGACTCTACTCAGCTCTCTCTTTCCTTGGTTCTCTCTGTTAAACTTTTAGCTGATTTGCCTTTTTTTTTTTAATGTATGTATGTGTGTATATATGTGTGTGTGTGTGTGTGTGTATTTATTTATTTTCCACAGAGAGGAAGAAAGAGGGATAGAGAACTAGAAACATAGATGAGAGAGAAACATCGACCAGTTGCCTCCTGCACACCACCTACTGGGTATGTGCCCACAACCAATGTACATACCCTTGACCGCAATCGAACCTGGAACCCCTCAGTCAGCAGACTGACGCTCTATCCACTGAGCCAAACCAATTTCGGCTGATTTGCATTTTGCTTGTTGCTATCATGGATCCTGAGCTGCTTCTTAATTGCTCACCACAAAAATCTCCATTGTTCTCAAGAGCACTCTTAGGTTTCAACATCCTTATGCTCTGTTCCAAATAAAGCCCGTGCTCTTAAGGAGTGCTACACTGGCCTTCGTTCTTCCAATCTGCTTCTCCCCCTGGGCAGGATCTCTGCCAGTGCTGAGAGCTGGGAGCAGAACTGGCAGCCATTTCTCTCAGCGACATTCCTACTCTGAGAGGTGCCCTGGGGGATGGGATGCTGTGGGAGTGGGAGCTCCTTTCTTCTCAGCTTGCCCCTCCTGGCACAAAATCTCTGCCCTCTGAGGAAGGGGAGAAGGCAATAGGGTCCTTACTGATTCTTGACCTCCGATGCCTGGGACAGAGCTTCTATCCAACCAACAGGGGCTGGTGGAGAAAGAAAACCCCAGATCTCTCGGCCACTTTGCCTGCAACACAGATCTGGAGGGAATGAGAATTGCTTGTGGCCTATCTCCCCAAGGAAAAAGTACAGGCCTACACTGGGAACTGGAAGAGAAAGAGCCCCATTGTCTTGGCTGTACCCACTTGGAGTAGAGCACCCATCATGGTGAGCTAAAGGGCGGGCAGACGAAGCAGATTGTGGGACAAATGCCACAGACTTGCAGTTTTCACTGAGACTTAAATTTTCTCTTCTTAAAAAAAAAAAATTATTGATTTGAGAGAGAAACATTGATTAGTTGTTCCACTTATTTATGCACTCATTGAGGATCAAACTGGAAACCTTGGCATATGGGGATGATGAACTAACTAATGAGCTACCCAGCCAGGGCTAAAACACAGATTTTCTTGATTAAATGTTTCTCCACTTGCTATAGTCCTTAGGACAATTTCCAGAGACTTCAAATGTTTGGGTTTAATGGTGGAGTTTTTTTTTAAATCATCTATGTTGTTTCACTGGGGAGAGTGTCTGTGGAGCTCCTCACTCCAGCATTCCAAAAGTGCTAGCATGTACTGTGACCTTGCATGTCAATAAACTGTGAGCAGCTGCACATTGGTTTGAAAGCTTTAGGCTGGCAGTTAGGTATTATTTAAAAACTAGAGGCCCAATGCACAAAATTTGGGGGGGGGGGGCGCAGAGAGAGGGTCCCTCAGCCTGGCCTGCATCCTCTCCAATCCAGCACCAAAGGCTCCTAACCACTCACCTGCCTACCTGCCTGATTGCCCCTAACCACTTTACCTGCCTGCCTAATGCCCTCAACTGCTCTCCTACCAGCCTGATCGCCCGCCCCCAACTGCTCTCCCCTGCCAGCCTGATGGCCCCCAACTGCTCTCCCCTGCCGGCCTGATCGCGCCCAACTACTCTCCCCTGCCAGCATGATCACCCCTAACCACTTCTGCCTTGGCCCCACTACCGTGACTTCGTCCAGAAGGACATCCTGAAGACATCCAGTCTAATTAGCATATTACCCTTTTATTATAGTATAAGTTACTTATTGTCATAATTTCTTTTTTATATACATTATTTTCCCAATGAACTGAAATGTTCCTTGAAGATAAGGCCAGCCTACTTATAAACCTATTAATTTGACTTGTAGAATCGCACACGCACCATTCACATGAAAGAATACATCAAATTTCTGGTAAAGGAAGGAAGATGGAAGGAGAGGTGGAGTAGGGGTGAAGCACTGTTAACTACAGAGAGCATTCTGTATGAGTCATTCCTCAAACAATCCAGGCCCATTTCTAGGGCTGGAAAATATGCTCCCATATTACTAGATGAGGACTTATGTCACAGAAAGAGTCCAAAATACAACACACTAGAAGCTGCAGAGCTTGAGAGTCAGAGAAAACCAAGTTCAAATCCTGGCTCTACCATCAACTGATAGTATGGCCATGCACAAATCACAAACACCTTTAAGCCATAGTTCCTCTTTCTAGAATAAATAGAATTAACACCACTACTACCCTCTTACCACTATCTTTAAAAATTATAGAGACATTGTTATGAAATGTTTGAAATTTGTCAAAAGCAATCCAACGAGAGACATGAGAAGAGTAGAAATTAAACAAAACTGGTCATTGTGGATGACTGTTGAAGCTATGTGATGGCACCTGAGGCCCTATTATTACTATGCTCTCTACTTCTCCATATGTTCAAAATTTCATTAGTAAAATACGTCCAATGCAAAAGATATTACAGTTAAGTAGTGTGGTTGAAAAGTGAAATTTAATAGTACATTTACAATTTTCAATAATCTCAGTTTTTCAAAAAGATCTCTTATGTTGCCGAAACTGGTTTGGCTCAGCCTGAGGACTGAAAGGTCCCGGGTTCGATTCCGGTCAAGGGCATGTACCTTGGTTGCGGGCACATCCCCAGTAGGGGGTATGCAAGAGGCAGCTGATCGATGATTCTCTCTCATCGATGTTTCTAACTCTCTATCCCTCTCTCTTCCTCTCTGTAAAAAATCAATAAAATATATATATAAAAAAAAAAGATCTCTTATGTTGTCCTGGCCAGTAGCTCAGTGGGAGTGTCATCCTGAACACCAAAAGGTGGCAGATTCCATTCCTGGTCAGGGCACAAACCTAGGTTACAGGCTCAGTCCCCAGTCGGGATATGTACAGGAGGCAACCAAATCGATGTTTCTCTCTCAAGTCAGTATCTCTCTCTCTCTCTCTCTCTCTCTCTCTATCTCTCTCTCTCTCTAAAAAAAAAAAAATGAAAACCATATCCTCGGGTAAGAATTTAAAGCAGTTTTTTTAAATACATCTCTTGTGCTTTAAAGTTTCCTGTACTCTAACTATTAATCTTGACTATAAAATAAATGGAAATAAACAGGAATCATTATAAAGTGACTTGACAATTGTCTGTTCCTGTCCCAATAAAGAGAATATACAATATGCCTATGCTCTGAAAAATGAGTCAGCATTTCATAAAAAAACAAACAAACAAAAAAAAACCAGTAATCCAAACTCACCAGTATTTCGGGCTTTCCCTCCGTTTTCTGGAGCGAGCCAGTAGCATCAGAAGGCAAACCTCGGGGAAGAAAAAGAAGCTGTGAGAAGAGGATGCTCCCGGAGCAGCTCCTCTGAGCCTTGTGATGGAGGAAGCAGTCCCTTTACTCAGCTGAGGCCACTAGGCTCAGCTAAACCTGGAGCCTTGCTCTCCCTCTCACCTCCACACTCTCAACAACTCTCACCTTTTGCCTTAGGATTCTGAGTCAATTTCTTCATAGTCCGTAGCTCCCCTGCTCTCCAAAGGCAAAATCTCTTCCCTGTCCTGCCTCCCCAGGCAGGGGGTCAGGCAATGTCAGGGCCCCAGAGTCAGCCCCGTGTTTGCCTTGCAATTCTACCAGCAATCCAGGTAGAAGCCATTTCATCGCAAGATCGATTTCTGCTGCCTGAAGTGCCGTCTCTGAACCTTACTTATAAAAGCCCATCTTGTTTCCATGAAGCCAGGACCTGTGGGACGGAGAAGAAACTTGATGTTGCCAGGATCCTTAATGGAGGCGCTAAGCCCATGCCTCCTCATGGGGATCCTGTCCTCTCACATCCTCCTCATTCAACAAATATGGAGTCTCAGTCCAGGGCAGGGGGGGGGTGTGTGTTCCTTGGAATTTTTCCTCCCAAAATATATTTTTATATATTTCAGAGAGATAGAAACATCAATGATGAGAGAGACTCATTGATCAGCTGCCTCCTACACACCCCGCTCTGGGGGCTGGGCCAGGCACGTTCCCCGACCAGGAATCAGAACTGCGACCTTCTGGTTCACAGGGCGATGCTCAACCACAGAGCCACACTGGCCGGGCTTCTTGGATTCTTTTACCTCGTTTCTTTCCAGCTCTCAAATCTGTTGCCTGCCATTCTCCTTTACGTGACAAAATTTACAATTCCCTCCCCCACCCCCACACCTCAAATTCAAGCTCCATGTGTTGTAATATAATACAAGCTCTGCTGCTTGGAGCCTGAGTCAGAGAGAAGACACAGCATGATGCCTGTGGAACGGGGCATTCAGAACTCGGCTCCTGGCTGTTCTGAATGTATTCCGTCCCCTATGTCCCAGTACTCTGGGAGGGGGGGGAGGGGGGGGAAGGGGTCTAAACTGAGTCCTTCTTACTGTAGGTAGAGCTCCAAATCTCACAGTGACTCTGTAAAGATATCCTCACACATACACATCTTTCTTTTCTGCACATGTATGCCACAGGCCTTATCAGTGATGTGCACAGATGTCTCCTGATGGGCACAATCTGAAGTCCTCCACCCACGTGGTCCCAAAGGGGGCAGGTGATGTTAGGGGCTATAGCACCTTCAGAAGCAACTCAGACACCCTGTCCAGAATCTCAGTCCAAGTGACTGCAGTTCTGCTGTTGCACTCAGTTCTTCTGAGACTAGCTAGGGTTCCTCTAAGAAGCCCTTTTGATTTACCCCCTAACAACACAGGCAGAGATGGTCACTCACTCTTCTGTCCAATCTGGGCATCCCATCTTAATCACACCATCTTGCAATTTTTCTATTGGTATTTCTATGACTCTCCTTACTAGAATCCAAGCTTCCAGTAAGAAGAAGCGCATCTCAGGGGTTTTGCTATTCCTAGTGAGTAGAATAAAATGGTCCTTTGTGGTAGATTTGGTCATTGTTCCCAATTATTTGCTTCTCTCTAAAAGGACTGTACTTTCTGCCTATGACATCAGGTCTTGCCTTAGAGTCTAGGGGTGTAGAACTCAATCAGAGAAGGGGCCAAAATCTAAAATCCAGCCTAAATTGCGGGCCGAATGGTTTACTGAACAGTCATAAACTGTCATTGTGATGGAAACGCAGCGGAGTGCAGTGATGACAGTGCGGTGTGGGCCACATTGCAAGGCCTGGCGGGACGGATTTGGCCCACGGGCCTTGTGTTTGACACATGGGCCTTAGACAATGAAATGGGAGAGAAGGTGACATGCCACCTCTGAGCAGTGTATGATTCAGCCATCTCTCATGTTCTGAGAGCAGCACGTTCCCAAGAAGTGGCCTTCTTTCTACTATCAAAGGCCATGGTGCTGAGCCAACCTACAAAGGAGGAGGCATCAGACTAGGTTTAAGGTTAGATTGTGGGTCACTGAGATTTGGGAGTCATGTGTTACTGGAGTACAACTTAGCCTAAGCTGATAAATATAGCCCCTTTCCTCCCACTAATGCTAGTATTTTAGTATTTATAAAACAGATACTGTACTACAAATCTTCACAACACAGCCAAGAAGTAGACACTTCTATCCTTTCCACCTCACAGAGGAGGAAACTAAGGCATGAAAGGTCCACTGACTTATCTTAAGACCACACAGCGACCCAGTATCAAAGCCAAGCCTAGAATCCAAAATTTTCATTTCAATTGAAAAAAAAAACTTTTTTTTTAAAAAGAGAGCTTTCATATTGTTATATTGGTGAGTAATTATAGTCCCCCATTCTGTATATCTGATTTGGAAGTCCTCGCTTTTAAGTGCACTTTTAAATGGTCTAATCTAACTGGAATAATCTTCATAGTAGCCACTGTAAGTTTTTAGGTTATAATTTCCTTGAAGGTTGGCAGCAGTTTGGTAGGACCTTGGCCTACATTTTTTTTTGGCCATTACTTTGAAGCTTCCAATCCAATAGTTACCAAGATAAGGTCTTAGAACATAACATTTTTAGATTGTCTTTAATAGGATTTTGCCAGTTTTTTCTTTTCTTTTTCTTCTTACATGCAGAATGATTGTACTTATAATGTCCTGATTTTTGAAAATAATATCTATAAGAGAAGGAAGTAGGCAGCTTCTGGGGACAGAGTCAAGAATGGGCGTCAGAACACAGCCTGCCCTGCTATGCTGCTATAAAGTAAGGAATCTTTTTTGCTCTGTGGGGGAGGAAGAAACGCTTCCATCTTTCTAGGTTCTTCTGGCTGGCCTAATAATTAAATCTTATTAGATTAATAAGAAAAATAAATAAATTTAATTACATACGTACATATGGAAACCCCGAATATATGAGTGAGTCAGAGACACCCACACACGCACAGCAGAGGTTCAGAGACAGAAAGGAAGTTGAGGTACATCTGGCATTCTGAGCTCACGATGAGGTAAGGCATCATGGGCTTCAGAGGGAGGAAGGTCATTTGCAGTACGATAAGAGCAGAGGTTCAGCAATCACAGGTTTGCCCTGCTCCACAGGTCATAAAAGTTATTTCTGGTGATAACTCTGAATAGACAAGGTCCCAAATTTAAATTCTATAAGGGAGAGGTAAAGTTTTTTGTGAGTCAACAGGGTCTCAACTGCCTTCACCTCAAAATTATTCACATGCCAAAGTAGCACATCTTAGGGACAGAATAACTCAGGCCTGTTTGAACCCTTCGCTGTCTATGGGCTCGGGAGGCCTGGTACACAAATTTCGTGCACCGGAGCGGGGATGGGAACGGGGATGGGGTGTCTCTCAGCCCAGCCTGCACCCTCTTCAATCTGGGATCCCTCTCACAATGCAGGACTGCTGGCTCCCAAGCACTCACCTGCCTGCCTGCTGGATTGCCCCTAACCACTTCCTTGCCAGCCTCTTTGACGCCGAACTACTCCTCTGTCAGCCCAATTGCCCCTAACTGCCCTCCCCTGCCAGCCTGGTCACTCCTAACTGCCTTCCCCTGATGGCCTGGTCGCCCCCAACTGCCCTCCCCTGCTGGCCTGGTCACCCCTAACTGCCCTCTCTTGCCAGCCTGATTGCCCCTAACTGCCCTCCCCTGCAGGTCTGGTCGCCCCTAACTGTCCTTCCCTGCAGGCCTGGTCACCCCCAACTGCCCTCCCCCGCTGGCCTGGTCACCCCTAACTGCCTTCTTTTGCCAGGCTGGTTGCCCCTAACTGCCCTCCCCTCCAGCCTAGTTGCCACCAACTACCCTCCCTGCAGGCCTGATCGCCCCTAACTGTCCTCTCCTGCAGGCCTGATCCCCCTCAAACTGCTCTCCCCTACAGGCCTGGTCACCTCCAACTGCCCTCCCCTGCAGGCCTGGTCACCCCTAACTGCCCTCCCTTGCCAGGCTGGCCACCCCTAACTGCCTTCCTCTGCCAGCCTGGTCACCCCCAACTGCCCTCCCCTGCAGGCCTGGTCCCCTCCAACTTCCCTCCCCTGCAGGCCTGATCCCCTAAAACTGTCTTCCCCTGTAAGCCTGGTCCTGCCCCTAACTGCCCTCCCCTGCAGGCCTGATCGCCTCCAACTGCCCTCCCAACTTCCCTCCCATCTTGTGGCATCCATCTTGTGTCCACATGGGGGGCGGCCATCTTGTGCATTGGAGTGATTGTCAATTTGCATATTACCTCTTTATTACATAGGTTACTTAACAATTACTAAAAACTCTTACTATATACCAGGCTCTGTACAATGTTTACCTCCCAACAGCCTCATGAGTTAGCTCTTGTGATAAACTGAGGTAGAGTTATGAATCTTGCTCATGTTGAAGAGCTAGAAAGTGCCTAGATTTAAACTATCCATGGAGTCCCATGTCCTTAGCCAGCTGTCAGTGGTAAGGTTAGTAGTGGGCAACCCCCCTGGGGTGGGACTAGTCTCAAAGTATATTCACACATAGGGTTGAGGAGGTGTAAAGATTAGCAGTGAATTAATAAATGCTGGATCTGGTGATAGGTTCATGGGGTTCACGTACTGAGTAGGATTAAAATCTGTCCTTACCAAAAATAAAAATTTAAGTCCTGATATCTAGGCCTCACCAGATGCCAGAAGTGATTTGGATAGTCAGCCAATAGCCCCCAGAAGTTCCCACCCTACCTTAATTCCCTAAGCCCTAATCCAGAGGTTAATTCCCTAAACCCTAACTAATCCACAAGTCTGACCCCAACACGAGAGAAAAGCAGACAAGGAGAGGAAGCTGTAAATGACATTTACAGCCAAACCGGGACCTTTGCCACAAAGAGAGCGAGTCCCTGCCTCATGACAAGCCCTGGGACAACAGGTGCCACGGAAATAGTCTCATCCCCCACTCACAAAACTGCCTAAACGCAGGTCAAGGTCGGGTGGTACCCACCATCACCAGATGTTCGCCTAGACCCAAACCACACACCCCCCCAAAGCCCCAGGACTTCTGACCCAAGACACTCCCACCACCCCCTAGGTGTACCTGCCCACGCGAAGCTCACCACCCCCGACAAACCTAAGCACTTGCAGGTGCTGAGATTCCCCACCCCAAACCCGTCCCCACCCAATCACTCCTGGAGCCACATCCAGCCCCACCGAAACACGCAAACAAGCAGTTACCCAATTCTTCATATTCACGATCAATCCTAGGTTCCCACAACCATTCGGACACGCAGGACCCAGGAAGGGGTTCCCTTGCTACAAAGATGGAGGGCTATTATAGGGCTGGATCCGCGCCCCAACCCCACCCCAGGGGATGCCTGGCTGAACCTGTGCTCGGCTCAAATAGACCCCGGGGATGCTCGACTGCTGCCGCCGCCCTCTTCGTTAATTGATAACCTCACCTCCTTCAAAAAAGAAATCACAGAGCTGGAGCCAGAGAAGAAAGGTCCGCTAGCGCCCAGCAACTGGGCGATTCCCAGCTAGCAGTGCCTCTCCCCACCCCCTGCCCCCAAAGGCGCATCGGGGGCCGCGCCCCATTTCCAAAACCAAACCTCCCGAGTTTGGGGCCACTCTCCCACCAGCCTCGCCCTACCAGGTTCCTAACCCTGCGCGGGGGACGCCTTCCGGCACCGTGGAGGGCCTCACAGGAGTCCGCGGGGCAGGTCCACCCAGCCCTCCGCCATCAACTGCGCCGGAACAGCTCCCAGAATCCCCCGGGCTCCGCCCCCAATGGCCGCCCGGGGAGAGGCTGGCGGCCACGAGGTTAATGTACCTGGACATTGTCTGCTGTACTGACAGCCTATCTGTCCCTTTTATGAGGATGCCCACGCATTAAGCGGACAGGGATGGCCTTGGCCGGGTAGCTCAGTGGGTTAGAGCATCCTCTCACAACCCCAAGGTTGCCGCTTCCATCCCGCGTCCGGGCACACACAAGAACCAACCAATGAAGAAAAAAAAAATCAACCAATAAATGCCTAAGTAAGTGGAACAACAAACTGGCCTGAGACAGAACTCTCTCTAGAATTATTATTTTTTTTTAATAACCAAAAAACAAATAAGACAGGCAGTGATTCCAGAGTGAAGTTTGTTCCTTCTACTCATTCGCTGGAAAGACTACATTTCCCAGAAATCTCTACGGCAGCTTCCGCGGAAGGCTTCCGCACCCGGCCTACCCCGGAGGTGGAGAGTTCTGCGCAATAGAGGCATTTCCGCCTGGCGGTCTGGCGGGTACTGAGTGCAGGCTGGGAGCCTTTTCTGCGCTTACCCTTGTTTTTTTACTCCCAGGCGCCGCTAAATTCCCTGAGCTCAAGCTGTATAGCATGCACACCACCCTTCATGAGCGCCATCTAAGTGAGGCTTCGTGCCACCCGCGCACCCCTGTGGGCATCCGCACTTTGCTGGCAGGAGAAACAGGAAGGCAAAGCTGTCACCCACTTTGCATGATGCTACCTAGTGGGTATCCTCCTGTCCAGGTCCTCAAACTTAGTGACAAATTCTCATCCAGTTCTGGAGGACAGAAGCCTCACACAGCTTGGCTCTCAGGCCTATTACCTAGGATCTGGGTGTTGTTTTTTTTTTTTTTTTTTTTTTTTATTTATTTATTTATTTTTACATATTTTAATGATTTTTTTTTGCCCCCTCCCTCCCTCCCCCATATCCCCTCCCTCCCCATAGTTTTATGTCCATTGGTTGTACTTATATGCATGTATACAAGTCCTTCGGTTGATCTGTTATCTCCCCCAGATCGGATCTGGGTGTTAAACACACACACACACACACACACACACACACACACACACACACACCAAAATTCAGCCCTAGCCGATTTGGCTCAGTGGATAGAGTATCAACCTGCAGATCCAAGGGTCCTGGGTTCGATTCCAGTAAAGTGCTTTAAAAAAAAAAATCGCCAAAGCTGGTTTGGCACAGTGGGTAGAGCATCGGCCTTCGGACTGAAAGGTCCCAGGTTTGATTCCAATCAAGGGTATGTACCTTGGTTGCGAGCACATCCCCAGTTGGGGTTGTGCTAGAGGCAGCTCATCGGTGTTTCTCTCTCATCGATGTTCCTCACTATCCTCTCCCTTCCATTCTAAAAAATCAACTATATATATATATATATATATATATATATATATATATATATATATATAATTTTAATCAACTGAGTGCATTTGAAGATGTAGCAAAGAGAAAGGAGCTCCGAAGGACCTATACAAAATGGACTTTTATAGGCAGAAGGGTTCGGGGGGACAAGGAAGCTATTGACAAAGAGTGGATTCTTTCAGGCAAAGTCACCATCCCTTAGGGGTCTATGAGAAAATCACCTCACTAGTGCTGACCAGGTGATTCCGGAATGATTGGTTTAAGATTTCATTTCTGGGAGAAGTTGAAACTGTTACTGGACAGGGGCCGGCCCTTAGTAGGTCTGCCTCAGGCCGGTCTGTGGTATATAGCTGCTTGACTATGGGTAGGAAAGATTTCGCAACAGTATTCCAGATGGGTTTGAGAATATGTTTACTAATGCTGGAGACAATGACACAAAGGAAGAAATTAGAGTAGAAGAAAGAACAGGGAGAACCCAGGCAGTGCTCTGCTTTGGCTCTAAAAATGTTATAGGAAAGAAATGAGCAAGGCAGGGCTGCTTCAGCTCTTGGGAAGCTAGAGAAAAAGGAGGCTATGGAGACAGGATCAGGGGATGAGCTCAGGTCGAGCTGCCACTGCCCACTGCTCCCCTCGTGGCAAGTCTTGTGGGTACCCTTAGAAATAAAAATGCATGCCCAGGAAGACTCTAGCGAGAGCCCACATTAAGTCTTTGTCCTGAGGGCTTTTTATCCTTTTTTTTTCTTTCTGCAGGTGAAAATCTTGGGGTGGGGGAGATGGGAGAATAGGTAGAATATTCATCAGCTTTCCAGGTGCATTTTTAATAAGCTGATGCATTAAAATGATCGTATAGGGGAGTGTGGATTATTCTTTGGTCTGTTGTACTGTTTTACCTTTCTCTTAGGTCCATCTGGCTTTAACGGATTTTTTGTTATTTGTTCCCCAACTTCATCTGTCCTTGGGTTTAGCTGGCACAAATGCATTCATTGGGTCTATGTTCTCTATTTTCCCAGGCCAAGGTGACTTAAGCTATGTATTTTCTGGTTAAGGAGGAAAATAGGAACCATTTGCTCTCACATGTCCTTGGTTAGGGAAGATAAAGTCTTGGAATTCACAAGCTGGCTGCAAGCTGCCCAAACTGTTGGATTTGTTTCATTTTCTTCTTCCCAATTCCACTTGCCCAGAGATTTTCCTAGCTTCTTATTTACTGTCCTGCTACAAAATTAGTTTTTTTGTTGTTTTTTAAAAAAATATATTTTATTGATGTTTTACAGAGAGGAAGGGAGAGGGATAGAGAGTTAGAAACATCGATGAGAGAGAATCATCAATCAGCTGCCTCTTGCACATCCCCTACTGGAGATGTTCCCGAAACCAATGTACATGCCCTTGACCGGAATCGAACCCAGGACCTTTCAGTCCACAGACCAATGCTCTATCCACTGAGCCGGTTTCAACTGTCCTGCTACAAAATTAAAGTATTAAGTTTGTTTTGGTGCCGTGGGCTTAGCACAAGCCATAGTCTGGGTGGCAACCGATCAATGTTTCTCTCTCACATTGACGTTTCTTTCTCTCTCCCTCTCTCTCTTCCCTCCTCTCTCTCAAATCAATAAGAAAAATGCGTGTCCTTGGGTGAGAATTTAAAAAATAGTTTTTAAAACATCAAAAAGATCAGGAGGGGAGGAGAAGGGATGCTAGGTGGAGCACAGAGCATCTTTTTCAGGGTGTACTAGTCTGTGTGATATTGTAATGGTGGATGCATGGCATTATGCATTTGTCAAAATTTGTACAGACAACACATAGAGTGACTCCTAATGTAAACTGTGGACTTAGCTAATAATAATGTATTAATATTGGTCCATCAGTGGTAGCAAATGTACCACACTGATGCAAGATGCTAAAAATAGGCGAATTGGAGGAGGGCGGGGGAAGGAAAGAAGCTTGTCTCTGGGAGCTCTTTCTGTTTTCTGTGCATCTGAATTTGATCCCCTCGGGCTTGAACAGTGACCACAAGGCGAGAGTGAAAACTGAAACTATGTATCCCACGCTCAGCCTGGACGTAGAACACAAACTACACTTGTGTCTATAGTGAGATGACTTTGTGCTCTGCCTGTCTTCATTAGCATGACTTTATTTTTCCAGGAATTTCCTGCCCAGGGAAGTGGCTCATGACAGGATTTTCCCACAGATCCTTCACCTCCTCGATGAAGAGCATCACAGACAACTTGCACCCTTGGATTCTTTGAATGCTTTGCCTCCTGGCCTTGCTATTTATTGTAGACTGGTATAGCACAATTCGTACGCGATCCTACTTTGAAAGACCAGCCTTGAGTCAAATTTTCAATTCTCAATGAATTCCGACTTTCCTTCCCCTCTGAGACAGTGCCAAAGCCTGCCTATAAGCAACACATCAGCTTTGTCTCATCAACAGGCTGTGTTTTTCATACTTAGGGAGCCAGCTTTTGACAATAAATTAGATCAATGTATTTTGCTTTAAAAAAAAAAAGGAAATATATGGCGTACTAAAGAAAAAAGGCAATGGAATTAGAGAGTGATGAATTATAATTGGGATGGTTAAAAATGCCTCTCAAAGAACTGATGTTTATGCTGAATCTTGAGGGATGAACAGGACTTTGCCAGGAGAAGAAAGGGGTAGAGATATAGAGAGGTGGGGGTGGTAGTTAAAGGTGGAGGGATAGTGAGCAGAGGAAACAGGATTGAGGGCCCCAGTGGAAATGCCAAGGAGTCTGGGCATGGGTTACCAAGGCAGAGCTGAGTCTCTGGGAGGATCTGGTGCTGGGGCAGAGGGTATGGAGAGAAGGGGTTACCCAGAAAATAGTACATGCCCATGGGCAGTTGGATTGGAATCTGAAGGGTGAGGGTGTGACACTGGTGTGAGTTTTGCAGGATGTGGCCTGCATCAAAGAGTCATGCTAGCTGCACTGAAGAGGCTGTTGTGGGTTGGGGACACTGGTTCCCAGTTGTTGCAGGGCAGGCTCCGTGAGCTTGTTTGCTTCACTTGCTGTGAAGGCAAGAAGAGGCATCAAGCAGGACAGCAAACTCCACTGGGACTTGGTTCCTAATTGCTTCAGATACTTCTGGGACCTAGGAGATCTCTGGTGTAAATAAGCACATTGGAAAGTACTGAGTGCTATTTACAGACTCAAACACAGAAGGACATGGTGTGTGGGGCAGGACAGGCTTTCTTCTCCCAGTTCTGCCCTAACCTTTCTCTTCTTCTCACCTCCTAGGGGGAAAGGGTTTTGGTAAGACAAGGTAAAGAAAGATAATTTGGATGTGATAATAATTCATCCACGTTAGGAAGCTGGTCAGTGTCAGCCAGTGAGAGATGGGTTGTCTTGTAGATGCTCTTCCCTGCCCCTGGGAGGCTCGGCTCCCTCTTGAATGAAAGATGGATCCAGAAACAAATCTTCTCCCTCCAAAGACAGGGGAGGAGGGTGAGACTTGCGTCAGCACCGCTGTGACCCTGGGAGAGCCCTAGAACTGAGCTGGGTGGAGGGAGCAGGGTGGGTGCAGAAGGGGGTGGGCTGTGGACAACCAGACCTGAGCATCCCGCAGACAAGGATCACCAGTGGAGCTGGCCCTCCCTCCTCCGGCAACACGGAGACACGCATTCTCATGCTCGCTCTCATGTCTCTGCAGGAAGGTATGGGCTGGATGGGGCGGCAGGTGGGGTAGGGAGGAGGGACAGTGACCAAGGGGCAGCTGGAGTGTTGAGATGCCATTGGCACCTTCACACCGGCTCCCTCCTGCCCAGAGCATGGGCGCCCTGCACATCCCCTTGTCACGGATCTGCCTCACCAAGGACTCCAGCCCCAGGCAGTGGGGGACAATGGGTGACAAGAGGGAAGAACTTGGCAGAGGAGGCCGAGGAGGTGGACCTTGGAGCCAGCTCCCCGATATGCTGTGCACCAGGGTGGGGGCCAGAACAAGTCCCTTCCCCTCAAAATGGGGTGGGGAGAGCTCTCCCACCCCCCAAAGTCCATCGCTCCCAAGATTCTGCTTCCTCACCCACAGGGGGGCCCTGACTGGGAGGTGAGGAGGAGAAAATGGCATGGGATCCACAGCACGTCTCATGATCTGAAGTGAAGGACTGCCAACCTGTGGGCATGGCTTCTGGCCCCTAATGGCAGCAAGGGGTCCTCTCTCAGCCTATGAGAGCCTCCGGAGAAGGCCACCCCCTCTGGGTAAGCCCGCATGGCTCACATTCTGGATGAGAAGAGGATGAGCACCCATTACTGCTGGGATGTGTGGAGGGTAAGAGTGTGCGGCTGGAGTCCATGACCTGGGTGAGCATCCTGACGCCCCCCTACCTGCAGCCTGGTGAGTG